ATGTTTGAGCATTAATAACATCAACCAAGCATCCCTTATCTTTAGCTCCTCATGATTGAAGCATTGGAATTTCTCACTCTAAGTCTTTGTCTTTAGTATTGGTTGAATGATTCCATTCGAGTGGAAGCTCTTCCATTTCCCTTCTCTCTTTCCATTTTTCCATGAAGTTAACCAAAGAGGGATTTTGAATTCAAGAATCTAAGTTGGGGTTTTGGTTTGAGTTGTTCTGTGTTCTTTGAGTTGTTAGTGGGTTAAGGGAAAGTTCACCCCTTTAACTCCAAGCATCTATTTCTAGGGATGGCAAAACGAGTCAGGTCCGACAGTGCCGGCTGCTAGCCCGCCACAGTCCGTCGACCCATTTTGGCTCGTCCCGCCAACCCGTCAACCTGCCGAGCCAGCCGCAACCCGTTTTATTAATAATTTTTTTTTTAATTTTAAACAGGAAATAGATGGTTCAATTAGTAAACCTATTTGTGGAAATTAATTGTTTTGAATTGAAGATGTGAGAATTACTTAATAGGAGAACAATGTAAAGTTTTATCAAATAAATAAATATAATATAATTTTCATTTAAATGTTTAATCTTTTCAATATAAAAATAAAATTTAATAAACGTTTATCTGTTATACACATGTATTTATTATTATATAAATTTTATCTTAATTTAATTATTCTAAAATATAATTTATTAAAATAATATATCAATTTATATTATTAACTTGAAATATATATATATATATATATATATATATATATATTGAATTGTTGATAATGATAATTTTATTATTAAAATTATTGAAAGATTTGATTTAAAAATAATAAAATAAAATAAAATAAAATAAAAAATATAACGAGTCAACTTACCCTTTGACAAGACAAGTCGAGACCTATAGCTCATTATGACTATAGCGGGCTAACCTACCCTACCCCACTTTTGACGGACCAAAATGGGATAGATCGACTCGTTTTGTCATCCTTATCTATCTATCTCGCTTTGTGCTTTTTCCAATATAAGAGAATCTCATTTATTTTTTAAGAATGGGTGAGCGTGATGATTCCTAAATTGTATTTAATACTTGAGATAGTATTCTTAAAAAAATTTAGATTTTGAGCTTGAATGAGTGATATTTGGATGTGTAGTGATTGATGAATAAATAAAATAATGATTTGCTATGAAATTGATATAAAAAACTATTTAAAATCCTAAATCCACTTTAATTTTAAAAATATTTGGGAAGAAGATGGATCTTTCAACATATTGATTGTGCAATTTTTCCTAGGCAAAAAACCTTCAATGATCTCAGAAAAAATGTTTTAATTGAACGAAATTTGATTAGTAAAATGAAGAAAACCTACATGTTTTATAACAAAATGAAAAACATATATATTTTTTTCAAATAAAAAATTCATGTAAAAATAATTAGCATTTTAAATCACATTTTGGTTATCTAAAACATAAAGACTTCAAACTTAATGCGATGTTTAGTTTCATTATGATTGTTTTTAAATGAATAATTTTAAAAATTAATTTCATTTTAAATGACTTTCACTAATACATAAACATTCAATTTTTATCCAAAATTAACCGTCTCTTTGAAAAATTGATCCAATTAAATGGTTTTAAATAATTTTGAATCAACAACATTGATGATGCTATTGATTATATATGTTAACAAAAGTTGGTAACATTTATAACTAAACAAGACTAAAAATATTATTTTCTTACGTTTTACAAATTATATGTATATATACACACACTAGTGCATATAAGAATAACTTTGTTAATATAACAATTACATATAATTATGTTAATTATATTTAATAATTTCATTGAATAATTTAATAAAAACTTCTTATAATTTAACAATACATTAAATAAAAATCAAAATTGTAAATAATAATTTAGTATTAGAGGATAGGTCATAAAATTTTACATTAAATCAAATCAAAATAAAATATTTTTAATTTTGTTTATAAATTAAAATTCTATTATATTCACAAAATGAAAAGATATAGTATATATTAAATATAATTAAATTTATAAATATGTATGCTATTTGTGCCATTAAATTTTATATAAAATCATATAAAAAATAATTAATATTTTTTCTTCATCTGTTATTCTAATAAAGAAGATTTTTAGAATTGGTTTATTTATTATTTTTAAAATACTTTTTAATTTTTTAGTTTTTCACAAATATTTTTATAATTGTTGTGTTAAAATATTTTTAAAAACTCGTTAAATTAAAAAGTGTAAAACTCATTAAAAATGTCTTATATTTTTATTTTTTATTTTCATTAATGATATCAACGTTTTATAGATAGTTGCACTGTTTTACATATTTTCATTACCATAAAGTTTTTCAAATTTTATCGTGACTTTTCGTTATTTTTTTTATAAAATATTTAAAAACTAAAATCATCAAACAAATATATATTTTTTTTAATTTGATATCTAAATTATTTTTAAAAATAAAAAATAAAACTGAATCAAATAAGTTTTTAAGTTCCCTGAACATTAAATCTAATTAAACATTTATAAATGAATGAATTTATAATTAATTATAATAACAGGATATTACTTCAGTTATAGTTATTATTAATTACATTAATTACTTTAATTATAAATTTAAAAATAATATGTTATCTTAATTTAAAATAATCTTAAATTTTTTTTAAATAATAGATAAAATAATTAGTTCAATGAACAATCTAATATGAAAATATCTTTAAAAATTTATTTATTATATAAGTTTTACATTATTTATAATCATTACACCATATCATTTTAATTAAATATATTTAACAATTACATTAATACTAAATCAAACTATTTCTTATTAACATTCAAACAACTCAAAGTTGTAAAAACAAGTTCATCGGTTTAACTTGGTATCATCCAAATTAAATGAAAAAAATAAAATAAAAAAATAATAATCTAATTCACCTATATTTTAAAACGAGTGATTATTTTTATCCTATATATTTTAAAACTTATCATATAAGTTAATGGGTTAATGAATGGATCTGATTGAAAATTTAAAAAAGTTATTAATATATTTATACTAAATTAATTAATTAATTTTTTAATTAAAAATAAAACAAAATTATATTTTTAAAATTTAAATTATGTTAATAAAATTAATTTTTATTGAGATATAATGATTTAATATATAAATTATAAGATAATGAATTTATTCAATCTTAAAATAAAAATTAAAAACTTATTTTTTAACATTTGAAAAGAAATTTATTTTGGTATGTACATCAAGTTTAAAACAATAGAAACAAAATAGTCAAATAAAAAATATTTTTAATTTAGTTAATATTTGTTTTATTTAATTTTAACTTTTAGTTTTTTTAAATATAATTTTAGATACTTTCTTGAAAAATCATTTTTAAAAATAAATTGGAAAAAATATATTGATAACTTTAATTTAAAAATTGTTTTAAATAAAAGAAAATGAAATCGATAATTAAAAACATTAACAAAAATTAAAAAATCATTTTAGTAACTATGGTGATATAGATGAGTGATATAATATAATTATTGACAGAAATATTAATATTATTAACGAAAATGGAAAATGAAAAAAAATGTCGTCGGTTTTGATTTTTTTTTTAATTTTTTTAAAATTAAAAATGAAAACAACTTTTTATATCTATTTTAAGAAAATGATTATCAAACAAAAAATTTTAATTTTAAAATTTTTTTAAATTTAAAAACTAATATTTATTTTTAAAAACAACAAATAAAAAATATAGATGTCTCCAAAGATATTAAATTAGATGAAATGATAAATTTTCGCAATGATAGTTTGTACATCACTTCTAAATTTGTATAACCTAATATTGTATTTGGTTTTTATTATAATATTTAATGTATTATAAATAATGGATAATTATAAAAATATGAGATATCAAATTTAAAAAAAAAATTCACATTCACCGAAAGCAAAAGGACTTTGATGGAAAATTGGGGACCTTATACATCATGACTTTTTCCCATATTTATTATATTTATATATTCAATTAATTATATGTTATTATTATTAATTATACAAATTGATTTGGAAAACTAACTACTTAATTCTCATTGATTATTTCCTCTTGTGTAGTTAATGTTCATTGTTTATTTAATTAATTATGCTATTAATGATGTAATTAAAAAAAATGTCTGAAAGTTCTAAAACTGAATTTCTTGATAAAGATTAGCAAGTGAAAAAGTGTATATCAATAACATGCCTACCAAAATATTTAAAATAATACCCAAAGTAAATTATCTTTCCTAAAATAATCTTTCTACAATAAAACATTTCCAAAATTAAAACATTCTCAAAATCATTTCACCAATTTCCCCCTAAATCTCACTTATTTGTTTCTCTTTTAGGATCAGCCTTTTTGTATATTGTTATTTTCAAAACAAAAACTATAAAAAAATAATTTAATTAAAGTAGAAAATTTAGGGAATTTAAAAAAAATATCAAATTTTTACAACCTTAAATTAATTGCTTTATTCTTGAAAAAAATTAAAATAAAAACATACATATTAAGAGTGTTATATTGGAAAATGTTTTTACCTTTTCCTAAATCTAAATACACGGCATTTTTATCTTATTTCTTTAAAACCAAATGAGCCTTTTCCATTATTTTTCAGAACCAAATGAACTTTTGAAGAAATTCTATTTTTATAAGTCATTTTGAAATTAATATTCTTTAATGACTATGTTTGCATGTTCGACACGCAAATGAAGAGAAATTATTACAAAATGATTAATTAAATACGAGTGATAAAAATAATTTAAGTGGTACATGAACATGAGAAAGTTAATTATGGGGATAAATATTATGACACAATATTTAAATTTAATGAAGGGTTTAAAAATAAAGAGTCTCAAGCAACAAAATTGATTAATTTAGTGTCAACAAATATCATATTCTTTTGCATGGAGAAAATCTAAATTTGCTTCATCTCCTTAATCCGTTTTCTCCATTTCAAAATGAAGTTCGTTCTACGTTTTCCTCTTCTCAAAGGGAACAACAACAGATCAAAACAAACAATGTCATCAAAGGTGACAATACTAGCATTCTCAACCCTAGCTATATTCATTCTGGCCACAATTTCTTGTTCTTTGTTGAATTACCATTCATTGTGGAAGATCAATGAATACCAGAAGGTATCCATTGAATTTGATGATGGTATGAATGAGACAGAAAGCATGCCCCCAACACCACCTGTGAAGAAGTGTGACATTTTCAGAGGGGAATGGGTGCCAAATCCTGAGGCACCATACTACACAAACACAACATGTTGGGAAATTCATGAGCACCAAAATTGCATGAAGTTTGGGAGACCTGATTCGGAGTTCATGAAGTGGAGGTGGAAGCCAAATGACTGTGAACTCCCCATATTCAACCCTTTTCAGTTTCTGGAAATTATGAGGGGAAAATCCATGGCTTTTGTTGGAGACTCCATTGGCAGAAATCACATGCAGTCAATGATTTGCCTCCTGTCTAGGGTAAGTCTCTTCTATCTTTCTCATGATTGACATTCTAAAACCATGATTCCATGGTTAGTATCATAGTTGTTTTGTTTATTTTGTCTTAATTTTCATCCTTCATTTTCTGATATAAATTGTGGTTGTCTTTTTTTTCTCCTTGATTTCTGTTAACATCGCAATCCTGCATCTGAATATGTCAACTCTTTTCTTTTTTAATTCCTATGTCACTACTTCATGCTTTTCTTCACTGATAATATAAAATATTTTATACCTGCCTATAATCTAATTAAAATTATTAACTTTTATGATAATTATTTAAAAAATTTATGTTTTGAATGCATTTTAAGGAATTGATTTTCTAGTTGTTGAATATCGAACTAGGATAAAAAAGAAGGTGAAAATAGTCTTTTTTTTTAGTATTTTAATACAATTCAACTTCAACGTTAATAATATATAAATAGATATTACTTGTTCATTTATCATTAAATTATACATTTTTATGTGTTAAAAGTGTGGTCACTAAATTTAGATAGATGATTAGTCATATAGTTGATAAATCACATGACTATATTTATAGAGTTTAAAACAAAACAATAGACATGAATTCTTTATATATACAACTACTTTAAAAATATAAATATGTATTCTATAAAAATAGACGTACATATCATACTATTAAAAGTATTACTTTGAAATTGAATTTATTATTGAACTAGGCACGACATAATTCAAGATTTAACTGTTAATTGTGATTGAACCGTTATTAATAAAATAACAATAACAATTAAATAATATAACATCAGTCAAATATATATATATATATATATATATATATATATATATATATATATATATATATATATATATATATATATATATATATATATATATAAATATAATGTTAATTGGTGGTTTGCATTGTATAGCTCTATCGTCTATGCTTTATAAATTCTTCCTCTTTCATTTATATCATGTTTTCATTTAATCAATGACCATCATATTATTCTGTTGAAGACAACTTCCCTCTATTTTGAACTATGTAGTTTGGTTGAGATGAACTTACTAGAAAAGAAAATGAATATTAAAATAATTAAAGGATTTGAAGTTTTGGGCTGAAAACAACCATTTTAATCTTCTAAAAAATTTCTGTGTCTGACACACAATTTTCCTTTTCGTATTGATTGTTTAAATTGTTAAATCTTGAATGGTTTAAATAATTTTTTCCTTCTGCAAATATACCAATATTTGTTTTCAGTTTCTATATTTTTATGATTAACATAATATCCAAACATTTTTTTTTCCTTTTACTGTAGAAACCCTACATAACTTGTTTAATCATTTCAACTTGACAACTCATGCTATAAACAATGCTTAGATGACAAAACTTGATGAAGCCATGTAAACAATTTTAAAGCAGAGAGCAATGAAAAAGACTAAATGAGAGGTTGACTTAAACATTAGGATCAATAAAATAAGTTATAGAAATTTAAAGCAAAATGGTATATATATTTACAGAAATTAAAAAAAAAAAACATTTAGGTTGATCTTATTCTTAATCTCCTACACTTTCAGGCGGAGTGGCCCGTAGATGTATCATACACAGATGACTATTCCTTCAAAAGATGGAAGTACTCAAACTACAACTTCACAATGGCTACTTTTTGGTCACCCTATCTAGTTAGAGCTGAAGATGTTGATGCAAATGGTGATCTCATCAATGTTTATCTTGATGAGTTTAATGAAAAATGGACGTCTCAAATTAATGAGTTTGACTATGTCATTATCAATGGAGGACAGTGGTTCTTGAGGCCAATGATGTTCTATGAGAAACATAAGATTGTTGGATGTCAATATTGTGCCTTGGAAAATGTCACTCATTCGACATGGCACAATGGCTTTAAGAAGGCTTTCAGGACTGCATATAAAGCGATCATCAGTTTGGGAAAGTCCAAGGGTGTAACAATTCTTAGAACGTATGCACCATCTCATTTTGAGAATGGGGTGTGGGATAAAGGTGGGAATTGTATAAGAACTAAGCCATTTAAAAGTAATGAAGCAAGGTTAGAAGGCTACAATTTTGAGTTATACAACATTCAATTGGAGGAGTTCAACCGTGCTAAGAAACAAGCTATAAAGAAAGGTTTGAAATTCATCTTACTTGACACCACACAGGCGATGCTACTGAGGCCAGATGGTCACCCCGATAAATATGGGCACCGGCCACAAGATAATGTGTCATTAGCTAATGATTGTGTGCATTGGTGCTTGCCAGGGCCTATAGACTCATGGAGTGATTTTCTATTAGAGATGTTGAAAATTGAAGGGATTAGGTCTGCTGGTTCATTTATAAACAAAATTGTTAATTAGATTTACGAATTTCCTTTTCTTGCAAACTATCATTGGCAAATTTTGCGTTGTAATTTTATGTATAAAGATGAATGATGTTTGTCAGGGCCTATAAATCAGGAGTGATTTTCTATTGAAAATATCAAAAATGGAAGGTGTTAAAAAGAGACTTCCTTTTAGATTTACCTTAACATGTTTTTTATCTGATAGTTTGCCAATTGTTTCTACTACGTAAGACATGTGAAGGATATTTGTAATTCTAATTATCAATTTTGTCTAAGAATGAATTCTCTTTTTTTGTTTTTTTACAAGCAGAGCTAACACTTCCATTTTCAATTTCTAATAGAAAATCAATCCATGAGTCAATAGGCCCTGGCAAGCACCAAGGCTCAATTTATTTCTACTACATGTGCTATTATGATAATATTAATATTAGTCAATGAACCTGTTTATATTAACCCAAATTCTCTATACTAAAGAAAAAAAAATTACACCCTAAAAACTATGGTGGCCATAAACACAATCACTTTGCCTTTTATGTCCACTAACTCTCACTAGGATGCATACAAGCTTAGGCAATCAATTTCCTCAGTCTGAACACACTACATAGCAAGGAGAACCATGAAATTAGGTGTTCGAATGTTGTCAAAATCCACATTACAGTCAACACCGCTCCTAATTGGTTCTACACTTTGCATTTAGCATTGGTTGACAAAGCCACTCACATTTAAGATAGCACCCTGCTTGCCTATCCAAAACAAAGAAAAGAAATGGATTCTCAGACCAGCTTGTATAGCAAAACAAAACCATATGTGTGCAAGCTCCATGAGTAGATACTCACTATAACTGAGTACCGATGACACACGTACTAACAGTGTTTTTAACATATTCTCTTTTGTTGATTTTCATGCGTGCCTTATTATTTGGAACTCAGACCCAACTAAAGAGTTGGGAAATGGAACTCACATACTTAGCAGGAAACACATGACCTGATCGAAGATAATGCGATAGAAAAAATTCTTAGAAATTGAATTTAAACGTAACTCAACTCTATAACAAGTGGACAGGTTGAATAAACCTTGTTAGGATAGACACAACTTTGTTGAGATTCACCTAATTATATATTATAATTTGATCATATTATATGTTGTCATAGAATATCTAAGGAGAATGTTACAAGCATTTCTCTAAAATCTAAAGATTAAACGACATGAAATTCCAGATAAATACCCCAGAACCAAAATAAGTGCTAGACATGAAGATTTAGTTGATGAAGCATTTTGCCAAGCATGTAGCAGGCAGGAACAAGTCAAGAGAAATAACACACGTAACCAACACTTCAGATATAAACACTCAGATCAAAATACCAATATATGAAGAAATTCATGGAATATCATACAAATATGCAACCGATTACAGGAGTCCCAATTACTATATCAAACTCTTCATACAGTGACAGCAAAAATGAAAGTTTTGACATAATATTGAGATAGATTACTCAATGGAAGTCTCTTCTAATCGTAACTCTGTGCTAATAGAACTGCAATAGGCAATCTTCCCTCACAATATCCTTCCCTTTTGCATAAAAAGTATCTGAAATTTTTCCCATTTGAGATGAGTCACGCTGTTGAAGCTCATTTATAATTTAGTTAATTTTATTTTTAATACTTTTTTTTAATTATGTTTCATTGTTACTAATCTAAACTAAAAGCTATTTAAATATTAATCTACTAATAAAAAATATACATAATTTTTTTCTCAAAAAAAATATTCATGTATTAAAACAGAAGTCAATAAATACATAAAATTTAGTATTAATATTATATATTTTTATTAGAAAATAATTACAATAAATAAATTAGTAATCAAAATATTAATGGTTGATAAATGATATTACTAGCTAGTTATTAAACCATAATTAGTGGAAGATGATTAAGAGTTGTTCTGGGTTATTAAACCATATTAAGACTTTGTTTAAAATATTACTCAGTTTTGCAAGTAATTCAACTTCAAGAATAACAAAAATAATAGTTTAAATTAATAAAATATAAAATTGTAATTTGTTTTGTAGTTTTCTTTTATTAAAATAAAATGGAGTAAAATTTTATTTAGTGAGATAAGATACATAAGTAAATTATAAATGTGAAACAATTTATGTGAGATATATCTCTGTCATGATTTAAAAATAAAAAATTGTGAATATTTAACATTAAAGAATAATTATGAACATAATACATTTTTTTTAATTCTTTCTTATTATTAATGTAGATAAATCTTTAAATTTTATCTCCTTTTGTTCTATTTAAGTTTCTCTTTACCATCCATTATTTAAAATTGTGAGTTCTTTAATTTTTAGTACATGTGAAATTTATGGTAAGAAATATTATGATGAAAATATAGTTCAACACAAATTATCTTGAGTTTGCTTAAGAGTCTTTTATGATTCATTATTTTTTATATATTTTAGATCAAATAATTGATTCACTTAAAAGAATATTTGAGAAATATCACAACGTTATATGAGAATATTTTAATATTTTTGTTTATTATTGAAAGACTTATATCATTCTCTAATCAAAATTTGAATATGCATAAATAAATAAAAAGTTTGTACATAAAAGTAATATAATAAATTATATATAATATTTTATCATATTATTCTTAAAAAAATATTACATACGATTTCATGTTAAAATTATAATATGATTTACTGACCAGACAATTTGTTATAGGAATAATAAAAGAATATGAATTATTACTGTAAACTGTATAACAAAACTTGTAAAAGAAAATATGGTAATTTCTTCTCTCAAACAACTTTATTATGTTTTTATATTTTAAAATTGATAATTATATTAATCTATTATTATTTTTCTAAAGCAATAGTTTAGAATCTTATTATGTCTCATTAAAAAAAATATGGAGAGGAAAAAAGAGTTGTCGGTGAGTTATTGTATTAATAAAAGACTAGAACCTTCTCCTTGATGGGAGCGTAAGTCTAGAAGGATGTATAGAATCATCAGAAACTGGAAAAGAATCAACCAAACTCAAACCAGAATTTTCTGGAAAATGCTACGTTATCCTTTCACTTCCTATATATATCCGCTTCAGTTTCACGAACATCATCAAACAAGGAAAGAGTATCCTTTTTACGATCTTACCACAATTTTCAGGTATTCAAATTTCTGCCAAGTGTTATTATAAGCATGTCGCTAATTCCAAGTATCTTTGGTGGTAGAAAGAGCAACGTATTTGATCCTTTCTCCTTGGACGTCTGGGATCCCTTCAAAGATTTTCCTTTCCCTAATTCTCTTTCTACTTCCTTTCCCGAATTATCTCGGGAAAATTCTGCGTTTGTGAGCACCCATGTGGATTGGAAGGAGACCCCAGAAGCACACGTGTTCAAAGCTGATATTCCGGGGTTGAAAAAGGAGGAAGTGAAAGTAGAGATAGAAGATGATAAGGTTCTTCAGATGAGCGGAGAGAGGAACGTTGAGAAGGAAGATAAGAACGATAAATGGCACCGTGTGGAGCGTAGCAGCGGGGAGTTCATGAGGAGGTTCAGACTGCCGGAGAATGCAAAAGTGGAGGAAGTGAAGGCTTCAATGGAAAATGGGGTTCTCACTGTTACTGTTCCCAAGGAAGAGGTTAAGAAGTCTGAGGTCAAGGCCATTGAAATTTCTGGTTAAGCTATGTGGTTTTGTTTAAAGTCCCATGTTTTGTTTCCTGACGATCTTGTGTGAGATTGATGCAATAAATACTCTGTTAACGCAAATACAAGTTATTGTTAGTGGTTGAGGAATAAAAAGTTTAATCAATAACTTTTGCTTGTAAGAACTATTTGGAGTCCCTTTAAATCTGTATAAGAGGCTAGAACTGTTATCTGCATAAAATTTCATCTACGAAATAAGACTAGAACTGTCTGCTGAGAAAATTCCACTGAGCCTCCCAAGAGCAACGAAATTCTTGAGATTCTAAGTGCTCGATGTTATGATGTGGAATGAATTCAAAGATTGATGAAGCAATACCAGTTCAGGATATTTTTTGAGTCTTATGAAAAGTGAAGAAGGATAACAATACTTGAATGCAAGAATTTACAGAATCAAAGGGAGGGAAGGAGAAGAATACTACTAAGAGAAGATTAATTCACATATCAGAGTTTTCTTTGAACTAACTCAGTTCTCTCACTTTCATACACTCTTCATCACATTGCAGACGAATTCAGCTCCTCTGGCTATTTTCCCTTTAATGCAATTGAATTTTCCATGACTATTATTTTTCAGTTGCTTGAGTGTTCTCTCATGTTCCACTGTCACACACATCAGGCTTCAACAAGGGGTTTTATGGCAGGAAAAGTTATAAAGAAGATACGCTTCCTTTTGTGTTTCTTTTCTTTCGTTTTTCTTTTCCTTATCAATGACGAGACATTGGAGATAAAAATAAGAATTTTTAAGGTTTATTAGGTCATAATATATAGTTTAATTTTTTTCGAAAAAAAAACTATAGATAAAAAACTAATTTCTTAACTTTTTCAGTTTAAGTTATATTTTTATATACAGAATTTAAAAGAGAAAATAATTTAAGAATTTGCTTTTATTGATTAATCTCTTTCAAAAATATTTGTATGAAATATTCTTTATACAAGTCATTAAGTTTGAAAGTGATGCAGAATTTAGATACAAGTCATCGAGTTTTATCTTGTTTTCTATCATTCCAAACTGAATTTTTGAATTTTCTTAAGTTTGCAATGATTTCAATTTTGGCTTCGTTGAAATTCGAAGTAAAATTTAGAATCGGTGCAGGTTTAAATGGAATTGAATTAATTCTTATTAATAAAAAATTGAATTAATTCCTATTAATAAAAAAGTGAAAGTAAAAATAGAAATGGATAGGTTGAGACAATAATATCATAAAAAATATTTATATATTTTAAAAAATTAAAATATTGTATAGTAATTTGAAATGAAATATAATTTGAGATAAATATATCTTTTTTCTATATTTTTTATACTATATTAAATTAAAATAAAATATTTCATAATTTTTTTGAATTTTAAGATAGAATAATTTTTTAATTACTATAAAACATAAATCTTTACTCGTTGTCTTAGTTTATTTAAAAAAAAAGGTTATATCATCGTTTTAAATATAAGTAATTATGTTTTTTTAAGAATGTTGAAATTGGAATTTGGATTTTTATTTTAAGAATGTTCTTGTTTAAATTTATTTAAGTTCACATAGATAGGATTAATGGATGATTATTATATTAAATTTACAGTCTTAGTAAATCGTGTTCAAAGAATTATATCGGAAGTTTTCTTGAATTGTTTTGAATTACTTTGTAGGAGGGTTACGTTATGATATACTAGTTCAAGATTCAAAAATCTTCATGAAATGTGTGTTTTTAGCCAAATTATTAGAAAAAAAGTACTCTGTAGATCTTTATAGAATTAATTAATCCTTAATATAATATTTTTATTGAAGATTAAATTATTACTGTGATAAGAGCATTTCACCTCCTCCTTCAAATAAGGGTATGTTTAAAAAGTTATCTTTAATCAAGGTTTAATTACAACGTGAAAAATGTCTTTATTTCACTTGTGATGAAAAGTATTTGTCATCTCATAAATGTCCTAATAAATATTATTTATGGTTGCATCTTGATGAAGATGATTTAGTAATTGATTTAATATTTGAGAAAAATGTTTAGGAGGACAATGTTGACCTTCAACCTCCACCCGAATCACACATGTCGTTTAATGTCTTTAATGTTCTTAAGGGCTTTGATGGTATTACTACTATGCGATTTAAGTGGGTTGTTAATGGATTGTCAATTCATATTCTCTTAAATAGTAAGAGTTTAGATAAATTTTTTACAACCTAGAATTGTTGCTTGTTTAAAGCTATTGCTTGAATCAATTGATAATTTTAATGTTATGGTGGGTAATGGAAGTGTTTTGGTGGTGGAGGGATTTATAAAAAACTTGAATGTTAACATCCAAAACCATACAATTTAGATATCAACTTTCTTACTCCCTATATTCGGTGTAAATTTGGTTTTGGGAGCTTCTTGATTAGTAACAATAGGAGTTGATCATATTTTCGACTATAGCAAATTATTATTGAAATTTATGTTAAATGATAAAATGTGTAACTTTATGAGAAGAATAACCAAAGTTACCAATGTTATCTCAATTTAATCAATTCAGGAGAATATTTCTCACAAATACTATTAAGGAAATGTATTGTCTTTAGTTTCAAAAATCCAACATTACATAAGATTAGTTTCTCTGATTACTAATTAATATGGAGTTCGAGATAGTTTTGCTGTTACATACTTATAAAGAGGTTTTTGCTAAGCCAAGTGGTCTTCCTCCCCACATATCTCATACACATATCATCCTTTTATTATAAGGTTCAAATTCAGTTAAAGTGAGGTCATATTGATATCTATTTAGCCAAAAGCAGCAAATTGAAATTATGGTTTAGGAGATGCTGCAAACAGGCATAATTGTGTCAAACACTAGTTCTTTCTCTTCTCTAATTATATTGGTAAAAAGAAATATGATATATGGAGATTTTGTACTAATTATAGGGTATTGAATGCAATTATTGTGAAAGATAGGTTCCTAATATCTATAGTGGATGAATTGATTGATAAGTTTCATGGAGCTTAATTCTTTTTCCAAATTGGATTTAAGAGCTAACTATCATAAAATCTTAATGTATGAGAATGATAGGTATAAAACTATTTTTAGAATACATCAAGGTTTATACAAATGGATGGTGATGCCCTTTGGGCTAATCCATGTACTGGTAACATTTTAGGTTCTCATGAATAATATCTTCTAGAAACTATGGTCTTTTTTTATGACATTTTGGTTTATAATCTATCATAGTCTATGCATTTACAACATTTGGAGAATGTTTTGTAACTGTTATAGTAAAACAAACTCTTTGCTAAATTCTCTAAATGCTCCTTTGGCCAATCGCAGGTGGAATATTTGGGTCACACGGTTTCGACAGCAGGCATTGCAATGGAGGAGAGCAAGATTAAAGTTGTCATGATTTAGCCTTTACCTAAAAATCTCAAGCAATTATGAGTTTTTCTCAAATTGATGGGCTATTATAGAAGATTTATCCAACATTATATAATATTGGTGGGTCCACTCACAGAATTATTGAAAAAGGACAATTCCCATTAATCTGAAGCTGCTAAAAAAGTTTTTAATACTTTGAAAACAATTTTAACACAAGGTCCTGTCTTGGCTTTACTAGATTTTTCCTACCCTTTCAATTAGAAATCGATGCTTCTATAATGGGTATTGGGGTGGTTTTAACACAAAATAAGCACTTGATTGCTTATTTTTCCAAAAAAAATGTCTCTTGCTATGCAAAGGCAATCAGTTTATGTGAGGGAACTATATGTTTTAACAGAAGTTGTGGCCAAATTTAGGCACTATCTCCTCGATTACAAATTTGTACTTCGAGCATATTAGAAAAGCTTGAGACCTTTAATGGACCAGAAGTTACAAATGCTAGAGTAACAAAGATGGTTTCATAAACTATTTGGTTGAGTTTTCTATAGAATACAAGCCGAGAAAAGATAATATACCAGCAGATGTACTTTTCAGGTCATTTTATGTAGCTTGGTCTCAAGCAGTACTTACATTGGTGACTAAATTGCAGCAAACACAAGGTATAGATAGGGACATTTAGACCTTGATTAATGTGTATGTTAACAACTTGGGTGGTGATCCTAATTATTCTATGCATCAAGGGTTGTTATTATGGAAAAACAGAATTGTAATTCCAGTAGGCCATGATTTAATTCAGACTATACTAAACGAGTTTATAGTTTAGTCATACGAGATATGCAGGTGTTTCTTGAACATTAGCGAGAATTGCTGTATAGTTATGCTAGAAAGGGATATCCCACGACATCAAAATTTATGTTTAGCATTGTTTAGTTTGTCGACATGTTAAGATCGCCATTATGTTGCCCACTGGCTTATTCTAGCCACTGCCAATTCCAGACTAGATATGAGAGGACTTAGCCATGGACTTCATTACGGGTTTTCTTATATTTTATGGCTTCACCGTAATTTGTGTTGTTATTGATAGGTTATCTAAGGCAACCCACTTTATTCCTATGAAACAGGACTTTACTAGTAAATAAGTGGTTAAACTATTTGTCAAGAACATAGTCAAATTACATGGATTGGAAGTTTTTATGGCATTTTAGTAGTATTATACTCAATATGTCATTCACTTATCATCCTCAATTAGGTCAATATGAGATTCTTAATAAATATCGAGAACTGTATTTATGCTGCTTTACTTTTGATGCATTAAGGGGGTGATCTAATGACTCCATTTAAAGTTTTGTAAGGGAGAGATCCCTTGAAGATACTAAAATATGTTTCTAAAGTTGACAATCTTTTCTCAATCCAAGAATAATTATTATTCAAGGATGACATACTGTAGAAGTTAAGTTCAATTTACAGCGAGTTTAGCAAGTTCAGAAGAAATATACAGATAAAAAACGATTTGAGGTGGAATTACAAGTTGAAGACTTAGTTCTGGTGAAACTGTAGTCGTATAGACAACATTCATCGTCTTTGCGCAAAAATAAAAAATTAGACATTTGATACTTTGATCCTTTTAAGGTGATAAATCGAATTGAGAA